AAACATTCGTCAGTTAAAACAGATGACATCTTTCACACCAGACATTCAGTGAAACATCAAATCTAATGGCCTTAAAAGAAATGCAACAGCCTGGTTAAATTCTCATAACCATGCATCACTGAGGGAATTAAAATGAAGGTCCCAATATGACAGTTTTCAGCATCAGGCCAACTATCAGCGGCCACAGATATTCCACACCAAAGTACAAGCGGAAGAGTACAACTTCCAGTCCCTGCAGCTGATTCATTTGGCAGCTTCTTGATCCTAAAGACCCAACGCTTAGAAGTAGATCCCTCTGTTTTAACACTGGCTTCCAAGTAAGTCTTCTTAAGCTCACTATCCAAATGACATGTTCCATTAAAAGGGAAGAAACTACCCTAACACAGCTGAATGAAGAAATAGCCAGGAGAGGCAGAATAGGTAGCACCACTATTAATACTTCAACACAGCTAAAGTGGGACTTTTGGGAAAGGAATGGTGAACTGAAGATGGTTCTGCTGAAAGTAGAGCCAAGAACTACAGTGGAATAAAGAACAGCAATTAAACTGTAATTCCACTCTGAACAAGGAGAGGACTTCAGATTGCCCACAAGCGCTCCGTACAGTTATTTCTTCATAATAGTTGTCTCTAGCAGGCTTAAAGGTCTGGGTGATGAGAAAATAACTTTTTTTTTTTTTGCTTGATCTCAGTCAAAAGGACACTGGCTTCACATGCTTTTGTAATCATTTTGAGAAATTGCTTGTTAACTACTAATTTTTTAGGAATCTTTGGAGTGATATGTTTTACAGCCTCCGGTGAATTTTCTTCAATCCTTAGCAAAAGAAGTTTGAAATAACAAGTGTAAAGATGTTTTACAAAATAAGCAGCAAAAGACTGATTACAACTTTGATTTTGGAAAGTTATGAATGGTCCAGATGGATTTAAAATAAGGTTTTGGAATGGATAATAATTCTTTTCATGGGAAAATGCTTTTGTTTTGAATTCTTTTTAAAAAAAAACCGATAGGATGTGACTTTGAAGGTTGGACACTAGAAGGAACTAAACCAGAAGGAACTAAAATTACCCTTGAAGGAGAAGAACATTTAAATTTGTCTTACTGATATAGAATGGAGCAAAATATTTAACATGGGGCATATCAAAGGACATCTGTGAACAATGGAGACCGAAATGATTTCAACAGTATCTGCTTCTATAGTTAGACTGTGTTTGAAAGATGTTGTGGAAGAGAATCAAGTTATACTGATCTGAAAGTGGATTAAAAATGAGAGACTACAAGAATAAAAAGATGCAACACTGGACAGAGAAATGAAATTGGATGTATTAATTAAAAGGGATATACAGACAAAAAACCCAAAAGATTGACCTGGAAAACTTTCCTATATTGGATTTACAAAAAAGCTTGTTAAAGCTCTGAAGAATTTTGTGAGAAGGAATAAAGAAATCAAGTTCTAGGACATTATTTGAAGGAACTAAAGATTGTTAAAGGTAAAAAGAAGGAATAGGCAGTTGGTTTATTTGATCAAGGTTAAAATAGGTATGTTATTTCTGGTAACTCTTAATGGATTTTTGGGATTTGGACTGAATGAGCTATAATAACTTGTTTACAGATAAGCAATGGGATTTTTTCTTGTATTTTAAAAGATAAATTACTAAAATTGATTATACTTGTGGTGAAAGAAGTCATTTCTTTATTTCTTTTCTCTTTCTTTACTATATACTTTTTTCCTTTTCTATTTTTTTCTCTTCTACACTTTTTCTTTTTTTTCTAGTTTGTATTGGTTTTTATTTCTTTAATTGCAATTCTTAATAAAATTACTATTGAAAAAGAAGTAGCTACAGTGAACAGTTAGATAAAAATGCCAATCATTTCTCATAATTGCCTTTGGTGACCAAGGTACATGGATTTGTCTAGCCTTGTCTGGATTCTTATAAATGTGTAGTGAGCTTTACAATATAGTTCTCACCAGAAGACATACAATATTATATATCAAATATCAGAATGTTTCCAAATACTGCCTTTACTGATTGTTATGGTAACATTGAACAGAGCCGAGGTGGCGCAGTGGTTAGAGTGCAGTACTGCAGGCCACTTCAGCTGACTTTTATCTGCAGTTCAGCGGTTCAAATCTCACCGGCTCAAGGTTGACTCAGCCTTCCATCCTTCCGAGGTGGGTGAAATGAAGACCCAGACTGTGGGGGCGATATGCTGACTCTGTAAACCGCTTAGAAAGGGCTGAAAGCCCTATGAAGCGGTANGCTGGCTGGGGAATTCTGGGAGTTGAAGTCCGGACATCTTCAAGTTGCCAAGGTTGAGAAACACTGATCTATATGGTTACTCTAACATGGTTATTGTAATTTTTAATACTTATATAATTGCCTATGTTTTTCTTCGGAAGTCATTTGCTGTGTAGTTAGATATAAACAAAAGAAAGTCAATTAGCTTACAAAAAAACAGTTATTTCATATGGGTTTATAAACTTAACCCTCAGGAGACAGGGTTTCTTGCCCATTCTTGCCCAACAAGAATAACCATAATAAGTAGACAAAACTGTTTGATGTAATCTTCATGCATTCTTTCCATTGTTTGAAACCACCAACCCCCCCCCCCCCCCACCCCCAAGCTAAGCACAGATTAATGGAAATAAAATCTGCCAGATTTCAGGGGAATTTATTTTCAAATACATATGATTTTCTGGGCAGTTCACATCTTATTAAAGACAGTATAAATTAAAGATATTTAATAGATTTACATTGCAATGAACCGGGCCCCAAATTATCAGGGACTTCTGCTGCAGTAATTCTTCTTTCCTCTACTCCATTTTTTCCCTTGACATTAAAAAAAAACAAAAACATAGCCAGCTGTATACTATTGATGACCAGGTTCTTACTTCCACCAAAACATGCAGGCTTGTGACAAAGCGCTTAAAAGCCTCTGGATTTGGCTGACTCTATTTTCTCCGTTGGGTTTTCTGCCTACTTCGTCTGTAATTTAATGCTATATATAAGTTTACTTCTTCCCGAATAATTTTTGGAATGGAGTAGGAAAGAATATTTACCCATAATTAGTGAAAGAATCAGTAACGCTTTTAACATGCTTCTTAAATACCAACCAATTTTTTTGTTAAGCAACATAGCAATGTAATAGTAACCTGTTTTATTCTATTTTTAGATGGTGTTTTTTTTCTGGTCTCATTTGACATATTAACCAGAATAGTTATGCTGATGTTTTCCTTCTTAGAGTTACTATTAATACAGAATCAAATTCAAATCCAGATCTTTCCTTCATCCCACGCTTCTTTCAAGACATCAGAATGGCTAGCCATTTATAGCCACGCTGCCACCAATTATTTCGTCTTATGCTGGTGTGCTATGATGCAATTCTGAAAAAACCACAAGCCACTTTCAAGCTCTTTTTATCTCTGGTGAAGCTGCTAAGATAGTCAGTTCCCCCGAGGAAATGGGAGAAACCACCTTTTGTGTCCTATCTAAATTCATAGGTGGAGGAATGAGCAGAATTGTTGCAATTTCGAAGGTCGCCGTTCTGAATTTGGAAACAAGGCTAGCTTGAAATAATCAGAGCCAATCCTGCATAAATATATTAAGCCAATCCAATATTTAAATGGGAACTCAATATGCTGCCAGATCTCCCTCATGTTGTTTGCGGATGTCATCCCATCCAATTTCCACTGGACTTATTCCTGACACAGACTGTATTGACCTTGGAACACATTGCAAATAATCGAATGGGATTTACTTCCGGCATTAAGGCTTCAATCTTAAAAAGAGATTTAATGGGAATTAAATGCAACTGATTGGATTCATTGAGTCTTACCTCTGAGCAAATTAGCCTACATGTATGGGGCTTTTTTATTTTATTTTTTTAGGACTGTCGCTCAAGTCTCTACGGTTTGTGAGCTTCACATGAGTAACGAACATTTGACTTGTTTGGAAATAAATTGCGTTGTGTGCAAGCGGAGCAATTTTCTAGATAAGAGAGACTGGAAAAACTGCGCTTTGACCAAATTGCATCCGGATTTTAGTGATGGAGAGAGGGAAAAAGGGGGGAAGGAAATCGTTTAGCTCGAAGCAAGCCGGACTGTGGAATCGGCTGCCGATAATCTTTCACACGCTTCCATGTTGCCGTCCTTGTTACTCGGAAGCCAAGCCTATTTCTTACTACTACAGTATTCAGAAGCGTCAACAGAACAAATCTTGCTCTGGAAGAGAGAAAAAAAGGTGTGTCTAGACAGTGACACCGAAACGAGGAATCGAAATGCTTGGCGTTCTCNGCATCGCAGCGGCCGGTTCTTTCTTGAGCTGGCGTTGGCCTTCATACGCCTCGGGGGCTTCCCAAGAGCCTTGGGCGTCGTAGAGGTACCGGCCTATGATGATTATCTTCCCCAAGTCCTTAGACACCATTCAGAGACAAAAGAACTTGTTTGTATCTTGGGAGTAAGACGCTCAGATTGCAGCCGCTGGGCCGGAGCTCCCCCGGCACCTACGGGACAAGCCGGAGGGGGTGGGGTGGGGGGCAGAAGCGAGTAGGTGCGCCCCCTACAGGTCTGGCTCTGAAGTCTTGCCTGCTTCTTGGGCAAGAAGAAGGTGGCACCGCGCTGGGGAAGATGGCAGGCAGCGCTTGGCCAAGGGGAAAAGCAGTTGGTTGCCGCCACCCCCACCACCCCCGGCCCGCTCAGAGAGGCCATTCAGCTTGGCGGCTAGGAAGGCGGGGGGGGGGGTGAGAGGGCAGAGAGGGTGGGAAGAATGGTTTTTCCTCCGATGAATGGCGGAGGAGAAAGAGCAGGCTAAATCCAGTCCGCGATGCCTATAAATGGCGTTTCTCTCTTCCAAGGTGCACATTTTTTAAAAAGGGAGGGGGGAGAAATCACTCAGTGTCATCCCCCACGTCAGGGTTGGCTGTGGGCGTGAGGCTATACTTCCTCCGCCCCCTCCTAATGGAGTGAACCATTCCCTGCTCTTCCTTCCCTCTCTCTCTCTCTCTTTCTGTTTCTACCCCCCCCCTTTCTCTCTCTCTCTCCTCTCTCTCTCTCTCTCTCTTGGTTCCTCTTCAGCCTTCCCTCCAGTTTGGTGTGTGCAAGAAAAGTCTCAGGGCTGCTCGGAACTTGTTGGCAATGCCTGGAGAACAGAAACCCCCCATATTTTCCCAAGTCCCACTTTAAGAAAAGAAAAGAAAAGGAAAGAAGGAAAGAAAGAAAGAAAGAAAGAAAGAAAGAAAGAAAGAAAGAAAGAAAGAAAGAAAGAAAGAGAAAGAAAGACGATCTGCAGTCGCAAATGATTGTACTAAATATAGGATGGGACTTAAGTTGAGCGGCAGATACATATCTCTGGTCCTTGCTGTGCAGCTAGGTAAGTGAATTCATACTTTCATGATGAAAGTAGCTGGGATTTTTTAAGTGTCTCCTTCTTCATCATCTTCCTTCTTCCTTCTTCCTTCTTCCTTCTTCCTTCTTCCTTCTTCCTTCTTCCTTCTTCCTTCTTCCTTCTTCCTTCTTCCTTCTTCCTTCTT